AGTGAAATTACCTCTGGTACCAAAAGGCGGAAAATTCTGGCTATTTATATGACAATAGCTATATTTATATATATGAAAGATATGGGAAATCAATATTTTTGATTGATAGAGAAACCATTTGTGAGAAAGTATATATTTAGGATCAGTTGATCAGCAACATTAAAAAAATCATTCCCTGCCGTCTCGATCCCTTAAACCTCACTACCAATTCGCTTTCTACATGCAGCGGAACACCGCCGTTTTTAGCTCAACATGGAAACTTTCGTACATAAACAAAGTTAATAAAAGGATCGAGAAACGATAGCTCTACCCATTACATCAGGTTTTTGTCGATTGGATCAACATCTGGTCTCAGCTCATTGTAATAAATGTGAACAATTACACGGGGTCTGATTGTCGCCACAGAAACGGCGGATGAAGACAAAAGTATTCCACGTAGCTTTTTAGCTGTGTGRGGATGTGGTGAGTAGAGAATTATTCTCGACAGAATAATATTAATAACTCTTTTTTTTTCAACTTCCGTTAACCATAAAATCAACTGTCATCACAATCATAAGACCTTTTCATTTCAGGTTCACTTAAATTTAATTGGTGCTGCTGTCTGCAAGTTCAGTTATTAAAGTATAATGTAAAGTTTTAATATCTATGTTTTTTTATGAAGACAGGATGTTATAAATAATGAAAGCAAGGTCTCATATAATGCTAAGAGGTATAATATGGTCCCAATAAAGGAATTTGTATGAATATTCCTGAATACGCACTCAAACTTCACTAATAATCAATAGGTATTTATTGGGGAGCAAGGATGGATGAATAGTTAAACACCGCTGTTCACTTAATCAGCTGGATTGGCATAAAATGTGCTCTCAAAGGTAATTCTACGGCTTTTTAAGTTTAGGAAAAAAGATGAATTTATTGAACGAAAAATCGGCATTTTTTATCGAATTAACAGGACAAGAGAAACCTTTCTTTCAAGGTGGGATGTTTAGAAAAAATCCGAAACTTTTCCATAGCCCAATGTTTTCCAAAACYTTCCAGCTCCTGGAAAAAGGAAATTTGATTTCCAAAACTTTCCAAAAGCCGCACGAACCCTGCTGGCTAGAGCGATGAGACGTTAAATAAAGTTATTTATTATTTTTATCGTCACTGCTCGCCKTTTGACTTTGGTTCTCTACATTCCATCTCAACGGCGCTCACTTCGTTTACAATTGGTCTCTTGCAACGGAACAATTTTCTCAGATCACCATTAAATTCAGGAAATCKCCAGTAATAAATAAAAAAGTTCACAAAAGAATTTGAAAACAGAAGCCACATTGTAAATTCRYTCAAGTTTGGAATCTTCTSTCTGGTGTYCTCACTTTGTGCTTTGAAAAAGGTTTTCTCAATWGAGGAAGGAAGAACGGTGATCATCGATGCTGCGGAKGCATAGAAAAGCGTTCTGCAAAGTTTAATCTGTCTCTGACTTTGGCAGTTCATTTGTACATTGGGAAAAAACCTGACTTTGATGTAGATACTGGAGTAGGCAACAAGGATTATTATAAGAGAGCTCAGAAGAGATGTCAGAGGAACGACAAATTCTAAAATACCCCGAAAACTTTCACATCGAACGATTATGATAGCAATACTTGTCAAGGAACACAGGAGCCACAACAGGAGAATAGCACAATGATATGATCTTGTCCTCAGAACTCGGTGGCGAAATGGTCTGAAGACGGCCAAAGCCCGCTCTAAGGATATCAGAATAAGTGATGACAGCGAAACATCGATGGAGTAATTCCAAGTTACCATCTTAATCGTGTCGTTTACAGACCGGCAGCCATTATCTTGATTTGGTAAATKGGGAGGGCTTATTGAAACGTACTGAAGGCTATAATAGAGGACCTGTCCGCCAACTAATAAGTCAGCGATTGACTGATTTACTAGTAAAAGGCATGATCTTGACTGATGAGTCTTTCTTGCGAAGATGATAATCGCCATGATGTTGCAACAGATAATGACAACGCCTTCAGCGACGAAAGCAACGAACCAAATCGTTATTTCTATATCTGACAGCCCTTTCATTGTTACCTTGAAACCAAWTGATAAGCGAAGACCAATTTAAGATGAATATACGTTTAACGAGAATTCTTCTTTMTACTCCTTCGTTGTGGGTAAAGAGGAGTATCAAAAGAGYACCCTTGGAAAGGTCTAAAGGCCATGACTTCCTCGGTTCACATTTCAAATAAAAATTCCGTACTTTTCGTTTTGGAATCGATGTTTGTTCTTGTCAGGTTCATGAATAGATTCCATCTGGCATTTCCCACGTTTCAGACTTGTTTGCCAGACTTTAAACAAATAATTAAAACACTTATCTTTGTTTCCAACAGCGAAATCAAGCAGGAAATACGCAAAATCGTCGAAATTCAATCGACTGGCTTAATGAATACTTGAATGTTCACGGCTTTCAGATGATCTACACATTAAAGCTGTCAACTCGAGTTCTTTTCTTGTATTCAWCATTCACTAACTTTAATTAAATTTTAAACTACAATTTACAACTACAAGTTATTTATTATGAGAGCTTTTCTTATGCAATATACTCCCTGCTAAGAAATACAATGCGAAGATGATTACATCCGCATCAATAACTCCCTTTTYCCCCAAACTTAACATTTACACATTAAAACCAAGCTGCGTCCTGTACAACAGTATTTTTTTTACCACGTCAGTTAACTATTGGTCGTAAGCAATTCTGGCAAAGTCTATCTTTCTTCTTCTACAACAATGATCACAAGGGTGACACAAAATAGGGGGGAGGATGAGTATCACTAATTGTCCAAGGTCTACAATGAGACTGCCCTCCTGCACCCATCACGTGGATTAGGCACAGAAACCTGCAGCTATGTCCTGCAGTTTGAGATCACTGCTCAGAGATCGGCTCCGGTCTACCCTCCACCTCAATGGCACTCACAATCGGTCTTYTCCAACGGAACAACGTTTTCATGTCCTTACTGAATTCAGGAAATCTCCAGGCATATATAAAAAAGTTGATAAAAGAGTTAGAAAACAGAAGGAGCATTGTAACTTCATACAAGTTCGAAATCTTTGTTCTTTTCAAACTTTGTGCATTAGACACGATTTGTTCGACAGCTGAAGGGAGAACGGTGACCATTGATGCCATGGACGCATAAAAGAGTGTTCTGCAAAGTTTAATCTGTCTTTGGCTTTGGCAGTTTACTTGAATATTTGGGAAAAACCTGAGTTTGATGTAGATACTGGTGTAGGAAACGACTATAATTACGAGACAGCCCAAAAGCGATCCCAGAGAAAATACAGAAATTAAAATATCCCGAAAACTTTGACATCGTGATATTATCATGGGCAAGCATTGCAGAGAGCATATGGACCACATTAGCAGAATGAAATAGTAATACGTTCTAGTCTTTAAAACTCGATGGCGAAATGGTTTGAACACGGCACATGCCCGTTCTAAGGATATAAAGCAAAGAGATGTCAGAGAAGTGTCGATTACGAAATACCAAATRAATATTCTTATTGCATCTTGTACTGGTCTACAAACTTGATGCAGCTCTTCTGAGAGATRAGAATCTATAGARKTGTATTGAAAACCAAAATGCAGTGAAACTGCGCCAACTAAAAGGTCTGCGATACTCTGATTCACGAGAAGAATGCATGATTTTGACTGATGAATTTTCTTTGCGAAGATAATAATTGCGATAACGTTGCAACAGATGATTACAACGCCTTCAGCAACGAAGCCAACGAACCAAAATGTATTTGCTTTATCGGTAAGTCCATCCATTGTGGCAGCCAGTGAAGCCACTTGGATCAACAAAAAAAGGAGATGTACGTCAACCTTTACCACTCAAGAGAACGACCAATTTTGCAGCACTATATACGTTTTAAAGAAAATTTGACGTTCATCTTTCTCCTTGTTTATCTCTTCTTTTAATTTGATCAATCAGTCCATGATTCTTCTGTCATCCAGCTTCCTAGGTCGACCTTACACGTCTTCTGGGAATTTTGGGATTCTTTTTAAGTTCTCGATACTATATTTCACGAGTGTTGTTCTCCCAAGCACTTGTCAGACTGAACGGTTGTCTTCATTATTCACAAATCCCCGCAGTTTGCGCCGCTTCATCATTTATATGAAGTCCAGCTGTCATTTCCAAAAATATCAAAATATAAACATTTGGTTGAAGCAAAAAGACGTTTATAACTGTTTTCATCATTTTGATAAAGCCGCGAAAATAATCCTGTTTAATCAATTTATCATATATAATATATATATAGAACTGAAGCAGCTGGYTTTAATATGAAAAAGCAAAAAGCGAGTCTTATGAAGCGCACGTTTTTGATGCGGATTTAATGATTTTCTTTGTCTCTTAAAACAGGTGCAGGAATTGATGTGGGCAGTAGAAAGACAAATACCGACTTATATTTGTGTATATCACGTACTGAACTGGCATTATGACTTGTCAATAAGTCGAGCGTATTTAAAATGAACTCAATGACAGATGRAATTGATATGGTAAGACTATGAAGAAGAGAAAACATTCTTAGTGACAGCTTGGTGAGAAATGCCAGGTGGGCTTTACATAAACCAATTCCAAAACAACTGATTTATCAGAGTTGAAGACTGCGAAGACARCACAAGCCATAACCTTGAGAAAACCAAGAACGAAGAGGTGGAACTAAATTGARGGATTCTCTGGAAGCGTTCGATCTATTGAAGACATTGAAGACATTTTCCAAGGATTAGTTCATCCTCGTTGATCAAGAGACTATCAAAATGCATGAACTRTCCGAGAAGGAGAAAACATTTTGGTTCATTATCTTCGTTGCTGAAGGCGTTATCATCATCTGTTGCAACGTTATCGCAGTTATCATCTTCACAAGAAAAATTCATCAGTCAAAATCATGCATTCTGTTGGTGAATCAGTCGATCGCGGATTTTTTAGTCGGAGCAAAAGTTCTGTATTTTAGCCTTCAATACACCTCTATTGATTCCTTTCCCTCACACAAACTGATAGGTGATTGTCGACCGATAGAAAACATTGTTAAGTTAGTAACTTGGAACTATGTGATTGACGTTTCCYTGTCGTCATTAAGTTTGATATCCTTAGAGCGGGCTTGTGCCGTCTTCATGCCATTTCGCCACCGTATTTTGAACAAAAGGACATACTACTACGCAATTCTGGGAACGTGGATAGTGTGTTTTCTACCRAGCTCGACARTTATAATCTTACGGTGTRAAGAGGAGAAATTACGGAACACTTTTACTTTTGCAATTGGGATAATTTCGGTTTTGAGCTCTCTTTTAACAATTGTCGTCRTCTACTTCAGTATTTACATCAAACTTAGGTTTTTCCCAACTATGCACATGAACTGCCAAAGTCAGAGACAGATTAAACTTTGCAGAACRCTCTTCTATGCCTCCGCAGCATCGATAATCACCATTCTCCCCTCCACACTACAACAGATATATTCYAATTCTCTAGGCAAGCAAAACAGAAACATGATGTGGAACTTGAATGAAGTTTTAATGTTGCTTTTGTTCTCAAACTCGTTTGTGAACTTTGTTATTTATGCTTGGAGATTCCCAGAATTCAGTGAGGACATGAAAAAGTTGTTTASTTGGAAAAGACCGACCGTCAATGATGTAAGTGTCATTGAAATGACAGAGAGAATAGGTCAAACGCGAAGTAATAAGTGAACTTAAAGTTGGTAWAGTTTTACATAKAATTGCGGCTAAAAACATTGACTGTCAGTGACTTACATTGTGACCATTTAGCGACAAATGCTGTTCATTAAATTTGACTCAATATCTYGTATGAAATCACAATAAACAATTAATAACATTTTTTCCTCCTCCTTGACGCTTTCAAGTGTTTCCACCTCGTGTAAACAATAAAATAGAAATTAAATTAAACAAAAAGCCAAGATTAAGAAAATATAGAGCAAGTTTATTTGTACAACCGCATAAATCAGACAATTAACATGTATACGTTTTTACGTCCGAAATGTTTCAAGAATCAGCCACGGACAAACTTAAAATATAACTGCTGGTATTTACAATCGCCATCTTAACTTAGTAGATAAAAAGAAATGTACACCTTGTAAACTTTAAAATGGATATTCGGGGAGCTACCGGAAAAATCATAGCGTGGTCGGAAAATATTCGGGAAAGTTTCGTAGAACAGTCGGAAASGCTCGCACCAATATGTTTTTGCATAAAAATTTTGGAATTGACACTATTCTACAGTTTCTAGCCTTCGATCATTTTTTTCACGATGCCTATAGCYTTGTGCGTTCTCTATTCTAAGGCGAATCCATATCTCTACGTAATGTTACAGCCCGACAACAGCCCGATGTTTCAACGAATGGTAACGAGAGAATAAGAGTCTAGGAAGTACCTTTGGGAACTACTATTGTGAACAACATCAAAGCTCTGTATGACTCAATGGCGACAGGATACTTCGTCTTCGTCTATTGTTTGGATACGACACGAAAAATCGACTCTTGTCGACGGTACTCTGAAATAACAATAAAAAATACAAACATTAGAGCAAAACGACTGTTATGTTAATACTGGGACATAAACCTACCGGTACATAGGCAGGTTGTCCAATTACGTTCCCATTGTTTCCATTGCCAGACTCGTCTTTCAATATAGTCCCTGTCTGCGAGTCCATGTCRTAATGSGCACGAACGAGGTTTTTATGTATAGGCCACTGTAGACCGGCTAGCTTCATGTAGCTTTGAATTTCGGAATCTGGAAGCTGGACGCCCCATAAAGTTGTCTAAAGGATGGATAGTTTAAAAGATAATAGAGCGCTTTTCATTAGAATCGCTCAAAGAGTCTCGTTGTTTAATATAGAGAAGGAACGCATTTCCCCCAACTAAGTATTGACGAAACTCGAGGAGAGAGAGGCGAGAGTGACTGTGAAACTCTTCACCTCCTCAATATCAGAAATCTCAAGCGGACCAGATTTGGTCTCCCCCTTCTCTCGCCCTCGGCTTCGCCAAGTGTTTTTATTAAGTAAACTCACATCGTCCATGGTCCCATTGAAGTAGTTCGTTTGGTCTCGTCCAATGTAAAGGATGCTGCCTGAGGACTAAGTACAAAAGTTCCAATCGTAAGATATGTTATGAGGGAGAGGAGCAGAAGAATAGTCTCCTTCAAGGTTACCCGCGCCATCTTGAAAGGTAGCCGTGCCTTTACATCGAAGCAAGACAACCGTTGAGCGYGCAATGATAGAAACCTGTGCATAATTGTCTGTAGGTGTGAAAGAAGGTTTCTACCATTGCACGCTCAACGGTTGTCTCGCTTCGATGTAAAGGCACGGCTACCTTTCAAGATGGCGCAGGTAACCGTGAAGGAGACTATTCAAAAGGAAATAAGTGGAGAGAATACGAAAACTCTTTGGATAAATAATGGATTGTCGTCTTACCAGGGCTGGATCCTGGACATTACTCGATGAACCAACGGATGAGCCATTGACAAACAAATTGACAATATTTCCTAATTGATAGGAAAAAAAAAACAGGTCAAGAAGCGTTACCATGTATCTTTTTCTTAAAAGAACTCAATACGTACTCTGGGCATCGTATCTCAATGCCAAGTGATGCCATTCCTCTGGCTCGACTTCTTCAGTTCCAACCGTTACAACTGACCCAATGTTACCATGAATAATCCTACAAGACACTTGTTATGTTACTTTATGTATAAATGAATGAATAAATAAATATAAGAATGAAATAAATAAAGAAATGAATGAATGAATGGAAACAACTAGAGTAATGGATGAATAAAGAGATGAACAAATGAAAAAAATAAATGAATGAGTAAATGAAAAAATGGAAGAGAAATGAATGAAAGCATTTCACAAATGAAATGAAAAAATGGATGAATAAATAAATAAGCAACTGAAGAAAAGAATGGATGAATAAAATGAATAAATAAAAAAAACATGGGAATGAAACGGATAGATGAATAAATCAAAACATGAATGAAGAAKGGATTACTAAATGGACGAACAATTGAAAGATGAATAAAGAAAGAAAGACATCATTGAAAGAATGCCTGGATGTCTTCATTCACAACTGATACCTGTCTTTAAGGTACAAACACAGCTTCGCATCCAAAGTACAAATAATTGGTTGGTTTGACTTCGAATAACCAGCAGCCATCTTGACCCACGTTGTGATGGTAAAGCTTGAACAGAACAMATTACGGCAATCTTACAGCATATCATTACATAAAGGCCCAGTTTSCACCATTATGCTTTGCGCGCAWCTGTTATTGTTATGATTTACACCAAAATACTTCTAGTATCCAAATATCTCCATAAAATAAATTTYAGATGGTTGAAAACTCTAATATTAGCGTTTAAASTGCTTAGAAAAGTGAGATGGTCAAAGATTCGAAACACAGAGTACAATGTATAGACTTTCGGTAAACTGAAAATRGCCGYCTCCMGGCCCTCRCGGCCCCCAAAGCACCATGGTRCACACTGGGCKTTTAATCAGAGAGTGAAATCGAGAAGTTGTATCTAGACACAAAACATGAAATCATTGAGAGCTGAGTGTTTATTTACCTGTTTGTTAGACGAAGTGTTCCAAGAGAAGGCAGCAGCACATA